CTCTCTCTCTCTCTCTCTCTCTCTCTCTCTCTCTCTCTCTCTCTCTCTCTCTCTCTCTCTCTCTCTTCCCCCCTGCCTACACTGTTTGTCCCGTTCCCCGTCTGTGTGTCCGTGTCTCTCAATCTTGGTTCTCCCTCCCACCGTCCGTTTTTCGTTATTTTTCTACCCCTAGCCGGCGTTGGTGATGGCGAGATGGTGCCGGATTCATCCTCCCGCTGGGCGGCGGCTCAGGCTAAGGGCGGGCCGGGCGGCGGGGGTGCCCCTACTTCGGCGTCTGGGTCTGGGCTGGCCACCCCCGCGAAGAAAGTCCCCTCTCACGGAGGGGGCCGCTACCAGAGGGGATCTTCGGCGTCGGATGGTGAGTGAGACATACACCCGCCTGCCTAAGGTTTTGACAAAAAGCTTACGGGGAAATGGGGGCGTGCCTACACGACGCGTCTAAACAAGCACCCTTTGTGTACCATTTATTTTTTAATATTTGTGGTGTTATTTTTCAGGCTTTAGAATGAGCGCTCGCAGCAATTCTGCCCTGTAGGAACTCCAATTCGTGGTCACATATATTTTTTACAATCAAGGAAAGCCTGCCCGTCTTTGCAGCCGTCTACCGCAAGGGAAAGGAGTCTGGTGTGGCAAGAGTGAATTTTCGATGGGCGCGCGTTCGCCAGCAAGTGTCGCGATGTATTACCGTCGTGAAAACTGCGGCGGCTCTAGTATTCCACGCATCCTCCGTCGGGTGGTTACTATGCGCTGCCGGCGGACTCGCAACAAAATCCCACCACCAAAGTAGTGCGGACATCGACACGTCAGACGAGGAGGAGTCGATCGCGCAAGCGGGGATTCTCTCTGTGCGCCCTCCCCCCGCCCCCGATTGAGCGGGACTCCCGCCCCGCCGCCGCCGCCGCCGCCAGGGGCGCGCCAAACTTGCCACCTAGGCGCCACGCCTTCCAGTAGCCGCCCCCCCGCCGTTGAAAGCCCACTCGCTTTTGAGGCCCGGCACCCCGCGGCTGCCGTCGTCGCGAGGACTGCTGTGGGTGTGCACGAGGCAGGGCCTAAGCTGAGCCTGCCCTCGGATGGTGACTTTCGGAGGAGCCTGCCGCCAGGGGCGGCCACGGTCGCCATGTGGAGAGAACGATTCCAGCCGTGTTGCCACGATGGCCGGAAGGAGAAGCGTCTCAGTGCTCCTCGACGTGTCTCGACCGGGATGATGACACAACGAGCGCACTATACTTGTTTTGCAGCATAAAATGCTCAATAATATGCTGTATGCTCCCTTTGATCTGTTCTGGGCATCGGCGTTCATGACGCTCGAGACGCTTGGTGAAGCTTTCGTCCTTCCGGCTGTTTGTGTCCCGAATGTCATCGAAGTCGTTCCATCGTGAATGCAGCCGACGTCGAGAAAAGATGAGAGAAAGGATTGCTATACTTTTTTAGCATCAGCAACGAATGCCTGTGCTCTAGAAAATATGGTAATGGTCTCTGCTCGTCTATCCTAGACATCGGTTCTTTATCGTACAACCGTTTGGATGATGTTCTAGATGCTTTCCCTCCCTGCTGTTTCACCGTGGAGCTACGTCTGGAAGTGTTTTCTCCACATGTCGATCGTGGCTGCCCGTGGGGTGGCTGGCTCCTCCGTGAGCCCTCAGCCGTGGGCAGGCTCAGCTCAGGCCCGGCCGGCGTCCTGCAAATCCACAGCAGTAGTCCTCGCGGCAGCAGCGGCGGCGGTGGCTGGGCCTCACAGCCAGTGGGCTGTGAGCGCCCGGGGGCCGTTGCCCGCAGCCTGGAGGGTGCCTCGGGGGGAGAGGTTTGGGCGCTCCTGGCGGGGGTACCGCTGAATCGTAGGGTTCGGGTCATGGGTAGGGGTGACGAGAGTTGACCCCGCTGGCGCGACTGATTCCTCCTAGTCTGAAGACGCGTCGCTGTCCGCACAGTCTCCTTGGGCGGCCACTCGTTGCAGGCAGCGTGGTGGGTGTGCCCCGCCCTCCCAGAAGGATAGCGGTACCCCCTCCTCCGGTGTGGGAGTGGTCGAGTGAGAGTGAGTGAGCAAGTGCCCCGATTGTTTTGACGGGCCCTGGGTGACGAAGAGGACGGAATTGCCGCAGAGAGTGGCGACGATCACCTGTTGCAGCTGTGGCAGTCGATGTGCGAGCGAAAGCCGACTCCCTTTCATGACGTCGTTCGCAGAGGCCTCCCCGCTCGCGCGCTCCCCAAGAAACTCAATTCGCGTAAAATGAACCCCACGGTGATCGCATAAGCAAGGGTCCACGCAGTGTGGTTATTCCAGACACCTCCCCCCGCGCGTGCACCCATCTCCCGATCATGATTAATATCCCCCCCACCCGCCTCTCTCCCTCGAAACCCACCAAGGTGTGGCAGAGAGGCGGGGTCTACCCAGTGTGGATATTCCAGACACCCCCCCCCCCCCCCCCCCCCCCCCCCCCCCCCCCCCNCCCCCCATCCCCCCCATCCCCCGATCATGATCCCCTCGCCTGCCTCTCTCTCGAACCGCACCAGGGAAACGATCGTCGTTGCTACAGCGTCCGACGTCAGAGTACACGCAGGAGACGAGCAACTTGCGAGGTCTCCGGGGTAAAGGGGTCGGGGTCGGTGGCGGCGGGGCAAGAGCGATGGGCGGCGGCGGGGAGAGGGCGGAGGCGCCGACCCCCGAGATGGCCGGGGGCGGCGGCGGGATGGAGGGCGCGGGGTCGGACACGGCGTCTGCCGCCTCAGACATCAACTACATGCACGAGTCCCTCCGGCAGTACCACCCGGAGGAGGGGTGTGACGAGGAAGGGGAAGGAGGGGTAGGTGTCCTTCGGTTGCGCTTGGGGTCGGTGGTGTGTGTTGGCATCGACTGCGGTACTGTAATCGGCTGACCAATCAAAACACGCCAGCGGGATAATGAGGGGTGTGACGAGGAAGGGGAAGGAGGGGTAGGTATCCTTCGGTTGCGCTTGGGGTCGGTTGTGTGTGTTTGCATCGACCGCGGTACTGTAGCCGGCTGACCAATCAAAACACGCCAGCGGGATAATAAACTCGAACACGGTTTCTACTGGAAGGGTTCTACCGACAGGGGTGTGTTTTTTTTGTTCTTTTTGTTTCATGTTTGAGCCTTAACAACCTCCGTGGGGTTCTTCCCGAGAAGCAACCGTATTCCGTACCATGTGCTGGTGCAGCCAGCGGTTGTCCCGGTTTACGGTGGTAGGTTCAAGTTGCATGAGGGGAGTGAGGTTTGGTATCCTGTAGCTTTGCATTTCTACATGCCGGAGGGTCCCTCTCAGCACCTTCGGCTGCGGAGGACGGACGATGGCGGGGAAGGGGGAAGGCGAGGCGCATGTCGTGGCTTGGCAGCGCCAACACACACTGCTATCCCCTCTGCCCGATTCTCGTATCCTTCCTCTTCTTTGTTTGCTTTGGTAGCACGGGTTGTGGAACTCCGACAATGGTCCGGTCGCTTCCCGTGAGTGGACGCTCCTCAACCTGAAAATGCACAAGAAATGAATTTCAAAATCCCCCCCCTCGGTTTTTACCTTCGGGATTGGATTTTCGTCTCTTGGCAACGACGTTGTACAACAAGCCAATTCACTTCGTGAACTCGGCAACCTGGTTACCGTTTTTTTTTTTACCTCTGTTTTTTTATTTTTGGCGGTAACCATACTGGTGGTCGAGTAGATCATGTTGTGCGGGGTGGAGAAGCCTCACTCCGCGCAAGGGCGATGATCGCACCATTTTGTGTTCAAATTGTCAAGCACCCTCGAGGCAGTTGCACAGTGCTTACAACTGTTTCAGGAAGTGAAAGCACCAGAAAATAAATTAAGTCATACGCAGCTGTCATCCGTACGCAAGGAAGTAAGCACAAGATGCCGAACACCATTAGCAGGATGCAGCGCACCCTTCATGCGACTCGCCGAATTACTCACGGCGCTTCGCGCTTGGTGATGTGAGAGCCTGGTCCGGTGAGAACCCGGCGTGCTCCGTCCCGGCTTTGTAGGGATGCGAGGTCAATGGTCTAACGACTACGGCATGCACGACTATGAGTACACCCCCCCGCTCCGTCCTCGCGAGGACGCGTGGTCAATTGTCCAACAACTATGGCATGGGACCCCCTCTCCCCCCCCTCCATTTTCTTTTTCACAGGTAGTGGAACTCCACCACACTGTCCAGTCCCTGTTTGAGGAAGAGGAGGCGCTGCTGAACCTGCACATGAACATCATCCAGGAGAACGCGGAACTACTGACGGAGGAAGGGCGGCTGCTGCAGCAGATACAGGGGGACGACGTGATCGACTACGACATCGACGCCTACGCCACCCGTCTCAGCGAGATCCTGGACCGAAAGGTTTGTCCCTTTATGACACGCATACATGGACTCCAAGTAATAGAGAGGTTTTCCCCTCTTTTTTAGGATTGTGTCTACATACAATCAAAGAGAGACTACCCGTTCCAGATATTACCACAGCAGTAGTCGAAGGGGATGTGTGCGCAAGTCCTTGCAGTGCGTGGGGGAAGATGAGAAACCTGCGTTTTTTTCGGCTTGTGTGGTGGCCTCTGCTGCACTGTACAGTAGTACATTCCACTTTCGAATGATGTTCAGTCTCGGGTTCCTGAGTGGCGTGAAATTCCCATATTTCTCCGTAGCCACACCACGGCTGTTGTTGTATCATCCCTGTCCGTCCACGGCCGTTCTTCGCGCCTCCCGGCCTGCATGTTTTTGCAGTTTGTGCCTTGTTTCTCCGTCGCCTCGCTTCACCGAAACCCATTGTCGCCCCGATCTTGTCTTGCTCATCCCTGGACAGACTCCGGGTGGGGTAGACTCGACGCCACTTGTTTCGGCCCCTCCTCCGTACGTGACACACCCGACCGATTTCCGCTTGTTTCTTCCACTGCTGCGCCCCCCTCCCCCCCCCCCCCCCCCCCCCCCCCCCCCCCCCCCCCCNCCCCCCCCCCCCCCCCCCCGCCCTCGTAGATGACTCTCATGTCGTCGCTCCAGAAACACCTCCGAAACTTCAGGGGCCACCTCGAGGCGGAGGAGAAGGCGAGCGTCAAGGTTCGGGACCTGCACGTCCCTCAGTACTAGCCGGTTTGCGTGGAAGTTGCCGGTTCGGGAGTTGCACGACCGTCACTGCCGCTAGCAGCTCTCCGGTGTTGCGGCGGCATAGATGCCTGTTCGGGCACGTCCCCAAGTACAACGAGCAGTTGACCGGGTTTGCATGTGGAATAGGTGGCGGTTCGGGAGCTTCATGTCCCTCAGAACTAGCAGCTGACTGTGCGGCCGGTTCGCGGCGGAATAGGTACCGATTGGTCTGCGTGTGGGTTGTTTTTGGAGGCGAATCAGTATTATCCCGTGCTACATACGGTGGTGGGCTGATGGCCGGGGACCAGAGACGCAGAAGAGGCGACAGCGGTGGTGCCCGGCGGGTTGTTCGAGCCAATCCTAACTGTCCACCATCGTACGTCGGTGATGCGTGAAGCGCTGGTGGGTTTTGCTCTTCCCAGAAATGCCACTTCTTGTCGGCGGTCCTTTTTTTTCTGTGGAGCGTAGGTCCAGTGCTGCAGGCACTAGCCAAGAAAGTGAGACGTCAGACAAAGCAGCCGCTGTATCTACGGAAGCGCGTGTATAGAAAACTTGTCCTTCTTTTGTTCTTTTGTTCTTGGTGCGTGAACGTGGGGGAGGACCGGCGGCGGCGGCGGCGGCGGATAAAAGTCTGCACTTTCCCTGCGCCAAGTACGTCCCCGCCCGCCGCGTCTTCCTTCGGCGCGTACTTGTAAGCTTCTTGGAGGGGCTTGCTGTGTGTGTGTGTGTGTGTGTGTGTGTGTCTTTTATTGTTAGCATCGACCGCGCTAACCGGCTGACCAATGAAAAGGCGTCAGTCTTAGTGCGGTTGAAAACACAAAACACTTCTATCTGCTATGAACTGTGTGTGTGCGCGACGTGACTTGTCTATTTCGTGGCGTGTGCTCGGGCAGGAGGACAGGGTCAGCTGGCGATTCTTTATTTTTTTCGTCGGTTCCGAGCCTTGTAGCACATCGTTCCGTATCGGCCGCATGCAAGAGGGGGAAGCTGAAAGTGCCGCGGGTGCCCAACGCCCCATTGCATGCGTTAGATTATAGTCTATTGTTTGTTTGGATTCGGTAGTATAATGCCTGATAATTTGACGTTAGTGGTTTCGACGAACTTGTCCTCGTCTGTGACTCTGCTCACTTTTTGCGGCCGCAGCTGAGGGGGAGGTCTCTTGGATGCATGCACGACTGCTCGGTGCGGGGTGCTGATGCCGTTGCTATCGCTGTTTGTTGTTACTACGGTTGTTGTTGATGATGATGATGTTGACGTCGTTCGAGCGTATGCACCACGTTGGTTGACGTACGTCATCAGCTGAATCTAGTTGTAGTACCTCGTCCTGCTGTTCTTTGCTCTTGTGGCGTCTGTGTGGCCCGCTACCATTGAGCGATTTCTGTGGTCGGCGTAGAGGAAGGGGTTGGCATGAGGCCGCGGATTGGATGTTTTTTGTTTTGCGGGGGGGAGGAGGTGCTGTGCGTCACAGTGTTTCTGTTTTTTTTTTTTTTCCCGTTCTCCCGGCCCGGTGTGAACAAAAACAGCGGAAATGTCGGCGAGTTGGGGAGGCGTTGGAAAATGGGGATTCTGGCATGTCTACAGCTTAACGTTCTGTCGGGTAGTTTGTTTGGTTTTCGGTCTGATTTGTCGCGCGTGCAGCGTTTCTTATATTCTCCTCTATTGATGACACACTAGTATTATCACAGTTACAGGGAGAGAAACCGGACTTTAGTGCTTTCGATAGGAGATTTGTCCAGCTGGCTCTTATCGCAGGCATTGAACGCTTTGCGATCAGAACGGCTGTGGTTGTGCTGGCCGGTTGCGCTGGTATGCCTGCCAAAGTCAAAGTTTTTTTCCCGCGCCGTTTTCGTTTCTGCGGACGTCGTTGCGTTACGTTTTTGCGAGCTAGCTCACCCCTTCGGGTGCCTTCGCTAGGTGTTCTGCCCTGTGCTTGTACCTCTTTTGGAACAACAGCAGCAGTGCTGTACCCGTTCCGCGTGGCAACAGACACTCCGCAGAGGGAGTGCGCTCAAGCGCATAGACTTGTGAGCAAACGCTCGACCGTCAGAGTGAAAGCGCTGCAGCTGCTGCCTGCGGGCTTTTTGGTTGGTGCCATCGACGGGACCTGTGTAGTCGGTCTCGGCCTAGAAAGAAGTGCGCCCTTTGGGCATGAATGTGAGTCTTGGACTGGTGTGACTTCTTGGACATAGCATTGTTTGGGGCGACGGGTGCGTAGTGCGCAGGTTAACCGATTTGTTGGGGTTACGGTTGATGATGGGCTCCGCCGCCAGATTTTCGAGGGGGGCTTCGACAACACCTACGTGTGGTAGTTGAGAAGAAGGTCGAGTTTTTTTTTCTTCAAGGTTCACGATGCGGAGTGACAAATGGATGACGATTTGGCGCTCGCTTGTCTTCATCGTGCGCTCGCGTTGCTTGCGTGCAGCACGCGAGGTGTCGAGTGATGGGCGTCCCGGTTTTGTCTTTTGATAACGCTCCTGCTCTTAACCTTTGTAAGGGCCTTTATTGTCTCTTGGGCTTGTTGTAGTTTTGGTGTCGCTGCTGCTGCTGCTGCTGCTGCTGCTGCTTTCGTTGCATGTGGGCATGAAGAACCTTGCGATTTTTCCTACAAACCTCTGCTGTGCGGCAGCCGGGCTTTCGGCTTTCCGGGACGCGCATGGTGGACGGAAACTTGTGCTTTACTGCACATGGATGGTATCGCACAAGCAACCACCTCTCTTTGTTTCGCTAATTTATCTCGTTAGTGATTGCGGTGGTGGTCGGCGGACAACAAAGAAAGTTGCTATTCGGGACGTCGATCAGCGACACCCACCTCTTTGGATAGTGGTGCTGACCTATGGCAGCAGGCATGGACGTGTGCGTCATGGAAGAACTACAGTAGTAGGCGTGTTGTAGAAGCGTGTTTCACCCCCTGGATGAGGGAGGCGCAAAAATATATGTATGGCAGGCGTGTATTTCAACCACCAGGTTGGCGTATCGCTTTTCTCTACGAATGCAACCTACAACGTACTCTCTATCACAAAGACACAGTTAGATGTGGTTCTCTTGCATGACCGTATAGTACTACGATAGGATTTGCCGGCGTGTTACCGGACATCTGAAAAACTTGTCATGGTATAGTCATATTCCATCACTGCCATGGGGCATCACCGGAGGGCGACCGGCCTTATCTTTGCGGCGGTTTCCGAGAGACTGGTTAATCGTGCCGGCGACCCATGGTGGAAAAACAGTAGATATTTTTTCGGCTTTTCACACCGCTGGCCCTGTTAAGGAAAAGTTGGCACGCAAACGCACGCGTCCTGAGCGTAATTACGAGACATGCTCTCCACCCTATCTGCGTCGACCCCGGCTTCTTCTAGCTCTTTGTTACACGAGGCGCGACCTGAAGCACAGGCGCAAGGGTGGTGGCCGGCGTTGGGCCAGCCACCGCCGCCGCCGCCGCGGTCACCTTTCTTCCCTAGGCGGTCCTCGCCGGTTGTTGGCCTTGCCACGCCCTGTCGTGCTGCCCACCGTTCCTCTCGCTCTCTCGACTCCCGCGACGTGGACACGCTCACCGCCGGCGACCTCGCGTTTTCCCGCTACTGCTGCCACTGCTCCGGCCGTCAGGTGCTCCGCTGACTGCTGCTGCTGCTGCTGCTGCAGCGCTGTCTCTACGTGTTCGCGGTCGAGCAGTCTCATCCGCGCGATGAAGACGTCTTGCATGCGCTCTGCAGCGGACACGCACTGCTTGATTCCGGTGCCGTTTTTGGAATACCCGATGAGGCCACATCGCGCGAGCCCGTCGACGAACTGGCGGAAGTTCAGGCCCGGAGCGGCGTCTTTATCGTCTGGGGCAGCGCCTGAAAGGATCACCCGCTCAACAGCCTGACGGGGAAGCAATGAAAATGGAGATGGCATAACACGAGGCCGTGGTTAACAGCCAAGATAACACAGGGGTTATTCTGTGCACCACTTTTCGGAGTTTTGTTCATTCTCTGTAAGAAAAATGCGCCACCACGGGAATACTGTTATTTTATTTTTGTATTCGAACTTGTTCGAGTGAAACTTTGACGAACACCCCCTCGCCCGTGTTTGCGCTCGTGAGGCCGTGGAAGGAACACGGTCAGTTGCCGTTTGCGGTCTTGGTGCGTATACAGGGCGACTCAGAAACGACAGTCAAGCGGCGTTGAATACTGAAGTGTGTTCGTGCATAACAAGCGATTGCTTTCAAATGAATGGGCAGTTTCTCTCCTTCGCCTCTGACGGAGCCAAGACAGGCGGGTGCAGTATATCAATGTTGACGTCTCGATCGGCTCCACATACGGTGGTGTAAACACCAAATGTTCTGGTATGCCTCGGCCACCACAAACTCACACGCCAATATGCGGTATCTCCGTCGGTGGAAGGTATCCCGTCGCCTTCCTCTACACGACCTGGTTCCGTACCCGCGATTCCAGCGTCAGTTCTACATTCCCGCTCACCGCCGCCGCCACGGCCGCCGCTTACGACAACGTTGTTGCCAACGCTTGTACCATCAGGGTCAGGAAACGAGGCGACCACCGACCCGTGCGTGCATGCACTCACGAACGCAATCCGGGCCTGCAACCGGCTCAACAGACCGCCAACAGCAGTGGCGGTGTCTCCTAACAGCATCCTTGGAGGAGGAGAGCTTGTCCGTGGCACTACCGTAGCTGCAGGAGCTGCGGCATTTGTTTTCGGCGATCGATGGCGATGATTGTCTGGCGAGGTACTCCTAAATTGAGCGTGGTGCGTAGTGTTGCTGCGGTCGTGGTGGTTATTTTGAGCCGGAGGGTGGGAGAGGTCAGCTGCTGGAGAGACGGTTGCGGCGGTAGTGATGTTGAAGTCGTGGCACACGGACTCGAAACCCGGCCACGAGAGGAACGGCCCCTGCCGATTGAAAGCACGCGGCGTGGCTTTCCGTCCTTGCAGCCACACGTGCTTGCCGGTGGTACCGTGGCCATCGTCCGAACATTTCTTGGCCGGCTGGGCGTTTTTTCGGCAGTACACGTCGAATATCTGCACACGAACATCACATGTCGGTGCAGGGCGCATCGTTTTTTCATAGAACACCGGTATGCAGTGTGGTCTCTGACTTTGCTACCGCTCAGCCAGGATATTCACGGTAGGCAAGTGCCAAAGAAGTCGTTGAAGAACAAGCACATTCTTCAGAGCTAGGGTACCGCGATACACTATGAGACCCAGAGAGTTCAAATACAAACACCTCATACCCTTTTCGGCCGATTATCCACGTCAGGGCGTCGTTGCTGCTGGTGTTTTTCTCGTTGTTGCACGGCACATATGCACACATCCAGATAGCAAAAGGGCCGAAGAACAGACGAAAAACCTGCCCCAGCAAGACGAGCAACTAATCCTCCCCAGGTCCCACTCTTACCTCCTTCAGTGCTGACCTCACGGCATTCGCGTGCTCCATTGTGCCCAGGAGCACTCGCGTCGCTGCCGTCATGCCATCTAGGCACGATCGAGCCTGCTTCAATTGCGCCAGAGCGCGCAACTTGCCACTCGCCGTGGACCCGATCCCGACCACCGCTCCTGAGCCCTCATCAAACCCGGGGGCCATTCGAAGGAAACCCCACTCGTCTCCGCCGGCGAACCCTCCAGTTGGATCTTGCACGTGTGTTGGCTCTTCTCCTACGCTGTTCTTGCACGCGCTGCTTCCTTCTTGTTGATAACCGCTGCCCCCGCCCCGGACGCCGATGCATGCCAGGTGGTCTCGAAGCACCTGCGTGACCGCAAGTCCTCGTGCGCCGAGGCGAGTTGGTCGTTCTGTCGCCGCGACGTAGGTCGGGTACGCTGCTCCCCATGCCTCGATCGGCCGATCGAGCAGGTGTAAGAGGACGGAAGATATTCTCAGGGCCAGCTCTATTCGCAAAGGGTGGAGCTCCGGAAGAGCACTGCTGCTGGAGCTGCTGCTGTGGTGGCTGCGACCGTTGTCGGTGTTTGTCCTGCTGTTCACAACATCGGACGATTCGATCGCGTTTGAAGACGCTTCGTCCTGGGCAGCGACGTAGGCCTCCAGCGCCTCTGCTGCTAGTCCCTCGCACTCGGGCATTGACACCTCGCCGTTGTGCCGAGCTATTTCTGCCAGGTGAAGTAGCTGGTCGCCTCGGAGCTTCAAATAAGTTACCCTCCCTTCGACGGACATGCATGAATCCGCCGAATACGTGAGGCCTCGTTGACGCATTTTCGTGTCGAAAGCAAGCCGTTTCGCGGTCAGCCTTGCGATGCCATCGCACAGGTCCCGGCTGATGTTCCTTCCTTCGTGGTGGTGGACGGAAGTCATTTGGCTCAACTTCTGACACCAGTGTATCAGCTATGTGCTGCTGTAGTCCCAGTGTCCCAGCCCTCCCGGGCGCTCTACTCTCAGCTGCTCATATGGTCCATCCCGGCCGGATTTTCCACAATTCCATCTGGCACTTAGGTGCACTTTTCTCTGGACACAGCTGGTTGTTCCGAAATCTGAAAGTACCGGCAAACGCCCTGTTTCCAGGCGCATCTCCCTATCCAGAGAACTATTATTGACAGTCCCGTGACGAACCGTCACACCAATCGAAGTTGCGGATCCCCTTCGACGCGGTGCAACTCTGTGCCGCACAGGAGCAGCCCCCCAGCCCGCGGCATGTTGTTTCCAGCAACCCTTTGTTGCCCACCACCTGCTTGCCTAGACCATGAACTCCGCCCTGGACAAACTGTACAATGAACTCCTCGAGCAAGCGGACAACGAGCCCGAGGAGGAGCTCACAGAAGCCGAGCGCGCGAAGCGATTCCTAGCCGAGAAGCAAATCACAATCGACAAGCTCAAAGAGGTGGGTTGTGTTATTGTTTTGCTCAACGATGTTCAACTCACAGTTCATTCACGACCGGAGGGCTTCATCTACTCGAGGAAATAACAAACCAACATCAAGACCTGGTGGGCCAATAAGGATGCACCTGCTGCTGTTCCGGTTTTGTCTGGGCTTCAAAAGTGCGAACACTTGCGGTGAACTTCTCGGTCCATCTCGGCAATAATGTCGCGACCCCACCGGGTCAACTGTTTCCCTGCTTCATAAGTGTCCGTGTGTTGGTATTTTGCCGCGTCTCTTGCCCCCCACTACTTCCCTGAGTTATGAGGGTGCTGAGAAACATCAGGAAGACCTGAACTCACAAGGGCATCCGACTGTCCTCCCTCCATGTACCACCCAGATGTACACCTGGCATTCACTGATAACTCAGCGTACAGACTGCTGCATTGCCCCTATCCAGCAGTTGTTCTCCCCGACTCACTAGAAAAGGCCTTCAACGTACCCCATTCGTCTGCTGTTGTGGTATTACAGCATCGCGGACGGGGGTCTTTCATTGCATGCATGTTTTGTGTTGGAAAAAAATATGATGTGTCTCAGTTCCCTGAAATTGTTTGAATAACCAATTGCGCGAAAAGTGAGTGCGTGGAATTGCCTCTCAACAACATGACCAGGTGACTCACGACTACTACTCTCTGCTGCGTGCCGAATCTTCGTCTACAGATAAGCTTGAAGAAGCTGGAAGAGGATACACGCAGGAAAGACGCCGCGAGATTGCGCGAACTCGAGCGCAAGCGTGAAGTGAGAGGTTCAAAGTTCGCAACAATGCAGCACCTACCCAATTTGATCCAATAGCCATGTTCACTCGCTCGCTGGATGTGTCGTCTCTGGATACTCGCTTTCGCAGCAGGGTGTAGGCTTTTTCATCGCATTTATTTTCGGTCGCTGATGCATTGATTTGATCCTACCGAGCGCTCATTTGCTCAGTGCCGCGGCAGAGTGTATGATACTCCGAAAAAATAGAGTGAATACACTGTCTACACACACTCGGGTTCATCGTGCCTGTATCTTCATGCGAAGGGTGAAGTATGTCAGGCATCTTCCACGCGTCATTATGTCATTGACACCGGGCGCTTTCGAAGCCAGTGTGACTCACGCTGGTGCGTACGGACTCTTGCACCGCGAGTGTGTATAGCTTGTCGCCAAGAGTTGATGGGACGAAACAAGAACTACAAAACAAGGGACACAGGCATTGTTCCCGTTGAATTCCTACCGTTTGCCAAACTCTGGTTGGGTTAACCCCAGAGGACGTGGACATGGTGTCCTTGCTTTCGTTGCGTTCTCCTCCTCCTTCTCTCTTGAGAATACCACGACATCACCAGTGGGCCGCCCAACTTACCCAACGGCAACGGCTGGCCGTGCCTTTCCTCTGCTTCTCCTATGATTTCCGTCTTGCTGGAGCAGGCCGCCATTGAAAAGCGCATTGAGCAGGAGAAGAAAGAAAAGGAACAAATAAGGTAACCGATACTCTGCCCACCGGGGGCAAATGGCGAGCCTATCAGCAAGTATTCAGTCGTTGGCGAAGCCGTCCGCAAGTCAACCTGAAACTGAATGTATATTAGTACATGGCGGGAGCTCGAGACTGAATACATAGCACACGGCGGGAGAATGATGATGGGGCATTGCACAACTTACCACCCGACGGAAAAACCCAGTGCGTGCCATTCGCGGCACACCCAAGTGTTCTATCCGATTCACAAGATTTCACTCGTGTTTGTGCGTGTTCCTGTCGATTCCAAGACAGGCATATCGAGGAGAACACGATGCGGTTCTGGAAGCGTGATATAACGGGAAAGCGCAAGGAGACGGGCATTCTTTACTTCGGGGAATCGAAGCGCCAGGGAGAAGCCTGGGTACCGCACGGCAGCGGTAGGTCATGATCAATGCTTCTGAAAATCGAACCGTCTTTGTTACGACATACGTGTTTGTGTGTGCGTTCTAGCTGAACAGCATGAGACGTATGTCCGCTGCCCCTTTTTTTGAGGACCAGCTGAGTGCTTCATCATTCCATGAGTCTTGGCGACCTCGACGGCCCCACAAAAGGTCGGGGCAACTCGTGGTGAAAGCCCTCTTTGAACGACGGTGTTGTCCTTCAGGAGAATATCGCGCTCATGGTGAGATACTCTACGAGGGACAGTTCTTCGACGGCGCCATGCACGGCGAGGGCCGCTTGCTCATGCACAATGGGAATATCTGGGCGGGCCAGTTCTGGAAGGTGAGGGGCGAAGAAAGCAAAGCAAATAATACCCTGGGCACTGATGCAGTAGCTTGGCTTTCGGCGTTGTGTTTTTTCGGCCTCACCAACACCGATATTTTGCCGCTGCTGCCATTGACGCTCTGTCTCTTACTCTCACCGAGCTTCCAATCGCCTGACTACGAACTGTAATTCTGCACACAATCTACGAGACCAGCAGCGAGTTAGCTACAAGGCAGATTATTAACAACAAGAGCGAGGTCACCTGGTCTCGTCGACCTTGTTTCGTGCTTCCGCTGTGTACTACTACGTGTGGGTAGGTCAAGTATGAGGTAGGCGGATAATGCCGCAACGAGTCCTGGTTTTCACTACTACTGTGGTTGCCTTACAAATATCATTCCGCAGGCATAATAGTAATGAGCTTTGGCTATTTAGTCTGTCCTACTAATATCATTAGGTTTTCCATCGCCTTTTCATTGTTTTTTAATGATAGGACATGGTGCAAGGCTTGGGAACGATCATCTCCGAGGAGGACAACAGCAAGCGAAAGGCCATCTACTGGCGAGATCGTAGAGTCTGCTTCCTCGACGGTGGGTCACGGTAGGCGTCCACATGGACGGGGAGCGGCGCTATTACATTGATGCCGGCCTATTCATATAGCATATTATGGTGCGGAGCACCATTCTCATCCTTTCATTTTCGGTAGACGCAGCCAGTCCCAAAATCCGACTCGTTGTGGTGGTTTCTTTCTGTGACATCTTCGATCCTCAGCAGTAAGTCGAATCCGGTAGGATCTTCTGTCTGTAACATTGATCCACTGGCTGTAACATGCACGGTGTAACATCGCCACAACGAGTGACCTGCTACGGCCGCAGTCAGTCATGAACATAGCAACGCTCGGGTTTCGAGTTGTCCTGACATACATCCGTGCGCTTCTCCCGAGTAATCGTAGCATGTGGGCTACAAGATGACGCCACTTCAATCCGTCCCGTCTACCCGCCCAATTCACCGTTCCCTGATCTCGTGCCCAAATATTGTGAAAAACACCCGGGCCAATGATAAGAGCTTATGCCCGGCTGTAGGCTCCAACTGCTCTCGGACGAGTTTGTAAGGGATGCCGACGGCGCGGCGTTGATTGTCGGCCCCACGCACCGAGAGGGTCGGTACCGGGTCAGGCTCGATAATGGGGCGGAAAGGCTGGTGAGGCTGGACAACGAGAGATTTCGGCTGCTCAGGTGTGAAACGGGCAATAACGTTTTTTTTTTTTTTCTTCCGTTTGAATCAGCGCTCACAGCACTAGTGCCGTTTACTCCAAACCGTGGTCACACAGAAGAGCCCCTCTCTACCCTTCCCTCCTGCGGTACTTTGCCTTCGAATTTTAATGCGAGAAGAGTTCAGCACTCTCTTCTCTCTGCGTACACACGAACTAGCGCTATCCACTAGGCCCGGAGCGGGAGCGAGAGAAAAACTCACTTTACAACTGTACAAGCCCGCTTACGCCGGGATTTGAACCCCTGATCTGGCCTCTAGAAGGTTTCGAGGATACCAACCGTGCACTAACTACATCATTTGTGCCTAACCGTAAACGTAAGGATACTTTCACACCCCAAGAACGAAATCGAGCTGCGTCATCACCTCAACATGAGCACTGGAACCATGCCCGATGGAAGCGGTGAAGTCGTCCAGAGCGTTTGCACGTGTCCCCAATCTTAGTGGGGGTCATACAGTCATGACGTTTGGGGCTCGTGTTGAGCGTAATGGTGTGATTGAGGGCGCGGCTAAGCTGAGTAAGCGTAGGAGGTGTCTCGAATGAGGTAGGTTTCTGAGGTGGGAGATGCGGTGTGAAAGAAGAGAGTCACTGAGCCTTGAGAAGCTGTCATTAGGTCTGATTGTCCCAAAAAGTATGCATACACAACGTCGAACGATGCCGCCATTGATCGACCCTCCATCCTACCCATAAATGCCGCGTGAAATGGGTGCGTACAGGCACAAACCACGGGTTATTACACTGGACACCGTTTTAGGGTCCACCACGTACGGGCTGTTGTATAGCCTAACTACGACGACCACCAGGCAAATTTTATTTTTACTTTGCTGCCGCCGTCTACGTTGGACGGCCACTGCTGTCCTTCCACACGCTCTGTAGCTTCCGTTCTTTCTCGCTACACCGCTACGTGATCTCTTCTTAACGGACTGGCAGGAATTTTAGTTTCTTCCCGTCGTGGCTCCAGGTTTCCGAACAATAAATGAAACAACAATCCGAAACTGTCACAAACCTATAAACCGAAGTTTTTCTGTCTGTTCGACGGATAAACTTCTCTATACACAACGTCGAACGATGCCGCCATTGATCGGCCCCTCCCCCCCGGTGTTTGCCATCGGGATTGGGTTTTCGTCGCCTGGCAACGACGTTGTAAAACAAGCCAATTCACTTCATGAACTCGGCAACCTGGTTACCGTTTTTTTTTTTACCTCCGTTTTTTTTTTTTGGCGGTAACTATAATGGTGGTCGAGTAGATCATGTTGTGCGGGGTCAAGAAGCCTCACTCCGCGCAAGGGGGATGATCGCACCACGTTGTGTTAAAATGGTCAAGCACCCTCGAGGCACTTACACAGTGCTTACAACTGTCTCTGGAAGTGAAAGCACCAGAAAATAAATTAAGTCATGCGCAGCTGTCATCCGTATGCAAGGGAGTAAGCACAAGATACCGAACACCCTTAGCAGGATGCAGCGCACCCTTCATGCGACTCGCCGAATATCTCACGGCGCTTCGCGCTTGGTGATGTGAGAGCCTGGTCCGGTGAGAACCCGGCGTGCTCCGTCCCGGCTTTGTAGGGATGCGAGGTCAATGGTCTAACGACTACGGCATGCACGACTATGAGTACACCCCCCCACCCCACATATAAATCGCGCGAAATGGGTGCGTACAGGCACAAACCACGGGTCATTACACTGGACACCATTTTAGGGTCCACCACGTACGGGCTATTGTATGACTACGACGACGACCAGGCCAACCCGCAGACGTCAGGTACGTTGTGTACGAGAACGCTGGGCTGACCGGACGGTTCGACCAGACGGCACGTCGTGCATCCATAGATGTTGAGGAAAGTATTGCTTGGAGATGTGCATATTTGTGACCGTCATTACTTGTAGCTTGCCGCCAAATGGGTGTTCCCGAACACGTGCCTTGCTCCCTCTGGCATCACCGGATCCGCGGTGTATTGACAGACTATCAGCGGGTGTTCTCTGTTCCAACCCGTTTCACTGCTTCAATATGTTCCATCCAGTTTTGAGAGCTGTCTCGGATGGATGTGGTGCATTGTGTGACACCTTTGAGTTAGGATCATTGAACAGGAGTTCCCAGAAGGTTGGCGATAGATGTATTCACTCTCGCTTTGATACATTGATTGCAAGCGATTGCTTCGGTTTGGTCTTTCTGTTCATTGATGGCCCCTATTCAAAAACGGTTGCACCTGTCGCCGAAAACAAACAGCCCACCGTGAGAACTACTACTACCCCGACCTGTGGGCCGGCCGGGAGAAGGCGAAACGGGAAAAGCAGGCGGAACTCGACCTCGAGATGAAAAGGTCGCAGGTCGGTTTCAATCCACGTGTGAAAAGGAACAACCAAGAATGAGTGCATCCATCCTCCCTTGTTCATACCTTTGGCTGTGGTACACCGCTGGCTGCACCCCCTCCCGACGACCATCATGTGCAAGGCACCAACTGATTGTAGACTACATCGCCGAGTGGAGCCACGAAAGAAACCTGCAGGAATAGATGAACGTCCTGTAGACGCGATAGACTATTCTTAAGAAAACCCAGAATCACCCTACGAAGCTGAGTACCAATCGCCCCCGTGCTTGCTTGTTCGTCAAATCGAATCGTACGAATTCCAGATACTTGCCCGGAGACAAGTGGAGAGGGACGAGCAAGCAGCGGCAAACCAAATCGCCGAAGTCGCACGGGGTCTTGAGGAAGAGAGGCTGCGGCAGGAGGAGGTGGGTGGGGGCCCGGGACGGGTCCACGATGTCGGAGTAAATTCATAGTGGTCCCTTTTTTCGGAATAACTCGAAATCCGCGTGATGCTTGACTTGTTCCATTAGTGAGTGCGTTCGTTGAGGCAGCGGCTACGGAAAATGTTTCCTTCTCCTTCTGCGGCTCATGGTGCACCCTTGGCCACCAGCTGTACTTGTCAAGACTCTTTCAAGGGGTTGAAACAACGTCAACCGCACACACTGCCCTCCAGCTCATGCGTGCGGAACACTGTTGAGTAAGCGCTCACACTCACAATACATTCGCCTGTTGCACGTACAAAATCAATCATAACCTTTGGCGCGTTTGCTCTTTTGCGCACCCGCGCGCGAAGGTGGAGAGGATGGACGCAGAGGCCGGGGAGAAGGGCAAGGAAGCGCTCGAGGCCGCCCAAGAGGCGGTGGCGGCGAAGAAGCAGAAGCACAAGGACCTCAGCCGGTCCCCTCCCCGCGACCGGGGGTCTTCGTAGATGTACATATGGCGCAGTCGTAGATGCCATACACTCGGTGGCATTGAAGAAGCAAGCAAACGTTGCGAGCCCCCAAGCATGCCCTTCCTTTGTGCGTGTTGCCTTCGGCTTGAGAACGGAAGCGGGAAGAGACCCCGGATGGACGCAAGACGTTGAGCTTGGGCATACATGCGTGACGCCAGCTGCGGTGTGGTACAGATTGCCCTTGTTCGTTTTGCACTTTCTTTGTGGGCACCAAAAAGAGAGTCGGAATTGTTTGCGTCCCTCTCAACACCGAGACAGGACGAGAAAAATTTTGTTCAAAATTGAAATCGGCCTGAGTTAGTTCTGACGAAGAGAGAAAATAGTTCTTCCTCGTGCGCATTCATAACGCGCTGTGATATTTCGACATCAGCTGTTTTAAGGCCCTCGTTCCTGCCCTACACTGCTGGAGCTTGTTCGATCCTTCCACAACATTCCGCCACGACCAACACAAGCTTCTGCACCAAGGACAAGGTATCACGGAGGCCTGTGTGTACGTGTCTAGTGGCCTCTTTTTGTGGGCAAAAAATCGGGCGGCTCGTGCACGACAACGCCGAAAGAGTCGCACCGGGACACTCCGGCTACTGTAAGCAAAGAAAGCCGTCGCCGACTTGCGTGGTGAGGTCTTCCGAGGACACAAAAGCTTGCTCGCGCCTACATCACCAAGTATCCTATCCCTTTCGGCAGCATACCATACAGACCCCTCTTTGTCTTTCCTGCCGCTGCCGCCTTCGTAAAAAAAAGACCCGGCTGTTTTACGGTCGGTCTACCACTCGCCCCAATCTACAATTCCTGCGGCCGGCGACAAAACGAGCGGAAGCTCCACAAAAAGAGCAACCGTCCCCCGTCGCCTGCCCTAACCACCCCTGCGTGTCCTGATGCTTTCTCCGCCTTCTTCCACCACCCGATCAATCCCACCGCTTCAGGTGGTGCGGCGCCACGTCGTTGCCGTTACCGTTGCCGTAGCTCCCGCCGTTGGCGGCACCGGTGCTCCACCCGCGGAAATCAAACGTCCGGCCGTCGTTCGGGGCCGTTGGCCACATGACGAGCTCCCCGGAGAGCGACCTGAGGTGGCCGTTCCCGCTCGCGGTGCCGCCGCTGGCGACAGCGCGGTCGCCCCCGCCGTTGCCACCGTTGCGACCAACCCTCCCCGGCGCGTGCTGCCTGTCCACCGCCGGCCCGTCGAGCTCCGGCAACGAGTCCTCCGGGAACGGGTCCGGTGGTCCCGGCCCTCCCAAGAGCGTCATGAGCGCTTCGTCCCAAAGGCCGCCGCCGCCGCCACCGACACTGCCGCCGCCGCCACCAGCTGCCGCTGCCGCCGCCATCATCTTCGCCGCCGCGGCCTCCGCCTCCGCGGCAGCCGCCATCGCCGCCGCCGCCTTCTCCGGCGACAGCAGCACGCCGTTGTCGCTGTTCTTCTTGCCGCCGTTCGGAGTCGAACCCCTCGGGTTGCCCCGCCGCCACCACGCGCACCACCATCCCATTTGCCGTCCCCCCGGCACGGCGCCGCCGCCGCAGCCGACGCGAGGGATGCACTGCGGGAGGCCTAACAGCCAGCGGACGGAGCGCACCGCCATCCTCGCGGAGAAGCGCAACAAGAGAAGGGCGCCGTAGCAGAGCGCCGCAAGCAAGGCGTACCCAAGGACCGCCACCAATACCAAGCCGGCCAAGAGGAAGACGTACGCGTCGGTGCTAGAGGCCTGGCGTTTTGTTTATGGCAGGTGGGGGCAAACGGGAGGGATTGGTCAATCCCGAGCATCATCATGCATGGCCGTACTTGCTCGTACAACGGCGTTGGCTCTTCGCGTGTAGAAATGAAAGGAGATGTGTGTGGGGGGGGTCCCCGCAGACCGGGAAAACAATGCCGCAGACGGGGTGGGATCTACGTTCGATGGAGTCCGTCCGACACCGCAGGCTTATAGACGAGTGGATTTAAATCGCACGCCTGCAACTTCTCAATCTTATGGAGCCCCCTCGCCGCCATTTTCGGCACCATCATGGTCTCGCGGCAGACTACACCCAGCTTTGAAAATCGGCCTAGCCGGGGTGACATCTTGTGCTACCCGCCGAATGGCAGTCGGTGAAAACGAGACAAATGCTACTTCTTCGTGCCGCACGGATCAATTGCTAAGAAAAAACCAAAAACAAACATCGCGAAATGAGACAAAGAAAACCGCAAGGACCACCAATCTGCGCCAGAAAAAAACAAACAAACAAAACACTACAACGCAAAAACGAAGAGCTACATCATACCTCGTGCCACGGTCCTCGGAGCTCCGGGGGATGCAGGTGCGAACTCCCGCCTAGCTGTAGAGTCCCCTCCACCACATCCGCCGCTCGCAGAGTGCCGCCGGCTCGCCTGTCATTCCGCGACGCCAACGACAAAACAGCGGCGTCAGGACCCAACCGCCACCCGGAAAGACGCGTGAGACAACGGGAAAGGGCATCGGTCGTGAGCGCAGATAGATGGTGAGTGCAGCCAGCTGAAGTATATGTGCTGCCAGTCTCGCATGGAGCTATATGGCGAACTTTTCTTTTGTGCGCGGAAGACGTATGCATGCAGTCCAGCTGTACGTTCATCCTGCGGTGGGCAGTCGAAGGTACGTAGCCAGTTCCTGCGGTGGGCAGTTAAAGGTACGTAGCCAGTTCCTGCGGTGGACCCTTACCAACCTCTCCAACTAAGGGTCAATGACAAAGCCTTGATGGACCACGCCTCCCAAGCTCGATGCGACACCCTCCACCGCAATCGACCGCTCGTTGAAAGCGCGCATGATCCAACCACAAAACACCAACCACCTTGTCTTGTCACCTCAACACGCCAGACAACACAGCGGCACTTCCGCCGAAGGAGGGGTCTGAGACGATATCCGCGACCGCCTCCCGGACGTCTCCGGAGCTGATGTTCCCGGTGGGGAGGCCAGACAGCCCGAGCCCGGCGCCGGCATCGATAACCCTCCTAGTGACGTCCTGCTCGCCCACAAAATAACAGCGAAGAGGCCCGCAACGCGCCGGGGGGGGATATGCATGAATGTCAGCAGAATACGGGAGGGGTTATCTTGGGGTACCATGGCACGCCGCCTACTGGCAGAAAACTACACAGCTCATGGTTTGGAACAAACCCGCAGCTGTGTAGTCGTAGGGTGGAGAGTGACAACCCGGAAGATTAGCAACTCAAGCCTACACGCGGTAGGAACAGACACAAGGGGACAAAGGCGCAGCTTAGGCTCTTGAAGCCTTGGAGCCGTATCTGTCCCACTTTCCGCCCCCGCCAAGGTTCCCTAATCTTGCTCCCTCCCCGGGAGTAGCACAAGAAAATTTGGTACATCGGCGTATTACGTACCTCCTGGTCGGCGAGCATTGGCAAGCAGAGGACAGGCTTCCCGAAAAGCAACGCCTCCTGCGCGGCGCCCATGCCACAGTGCGAAACCACGGCCTTGACCGCCGGGTGGGCCAGGATCTGAAGGGCGAGGAAGAGAGGAAGGGAAAGGGGGAGCGAGCGAGAGAAAGGCCGAGAACGAGAAAGAGAGAGAGTGAAACAAACACAGAGGAAAAGAGTAAGCACAGATCATCAATCAATCGAGATATTTCAGCGATGTGCGAGAACGGCGGCAAGAATCAAGCCAAAAAGAAAGGTGTTCGCGGGGGGAGGGGGAGCGTGAGTGGTGAAAGGATACGGCAAGCGGGTTTGTTTCCCCTCATCATTGACGGATGAGCGGAAGAAAGGATGGGGATCTTCGGCCGGCCCGCCTGATTCTTGCGGCACGCGTTTCAACTCTGTTTCTCCGAAGGTGAATCCACAGAAGGGCTACCATGGAGACCTTTCAACCATGGCGTTTTTCGGACGGTAGGACGGGCCGAGGCCGCATGACTCAGGTCTTGCCTTCTTCTCGAAGAAAATATAACGAAAACGGACGCAGACAACAGAGTGATAAAACACCAGTGGAAACAGCCGGCAATTTGTGTAGAAAACATACAATCACAGAAAAGACTACGGGTTCGCCACAACAATACCACAGTCGAAGGAGAGTATTAACGCCTTTACATAGTGAGCGGGGGGGAGAAATCAGCTTTTATCTTGATTCAAGTAAGATTACACTACACTGAATTTGGTGCACCAGCTGGTGCATCTCACAGAGCGTTAAAAGCGGTCCCCCATCGCGCTCACCCCGAGGTGCGGCAGCCCCCCCAAGACCTTGAGGCGGAAGGAAGGCGGGGGCGGCATCGGCAGCAGCGCCGACAGCAGCTGCTCCCGCTGGTCCTTCGGCAAGACCCAAAGGATGCGGTAGCGCCCGAGCCTGTCCTCTGCCCCGCCGCCGCCCCAGCACATCGCCTCCGACGGGGACGACAGCGCCTGCAGGATGGTCACCAGCTGCCATTTGTCCAGCTGCGGCATGCGCCCGAGGTTCACGTAGATCACCCCGTTGTCGTCGGGAAGCATCGGGCCCTCACCGGCCGCCACTGCGGAGGCAGTGGCAGGCGCGGAACCGGAGCCAGCAGCAGCAGCGGCGGAGGCGGGGGCCTCTTCCTTCGCAGGAGTCGCTGCAGCGGCCGCCGCCGCCGCCGCTTCGGCACGATGTGATTGCTTCGCGGCCGCTTCGAAAGCCGCCGTGCCGGGGGCCACCAGGGCGCCCGTCCCGCCCAACCAGGTCCGGATGAGGAACGGTAGGGCNCCTCACCCCCCCCCCCCCCCGACGGCGGCGAGTGGTCGCGGTCGCCCGGCGCCGCCGCTGTAGCGGCAGCCGTTGCGTTCCCTGAACCGACGGCAGCGAGCTCTCGCTTCGCCGAGAGAGCGCGGGCGACCCTGGGCGGGAGGAGGGGCCCCGTCATCTCGACGAGGGGGTTGACGCCGTACGGGTACTCGAAGCCGAAGGCCGTGTTGACGAGGACGCGCGCGCCGTGGAAGACGTCGTCCTGTGCGTAGAAGGGCTCCAGCCCCTGCTCCCTCCTTGCCTGTTCGAATGGATGATGGCAGAAACGCAGCGGGTGTTCGAGGATTGTACGGCAGTGTGTGCGGAGGGGATGGGGAGGGGGTGTACTCATAGTCGTGCATGCCGTAGTCGTTAGACCATTGACCTCGCATCCCTACAAAGCCGGGACGGAGCACGCCGGGTTCTCACCGGACCAGGCTCTCACATCACCAAGCGCGAAGCGCCGTGAGATATTCGGCGAGTCGCATGAAGGGTGCGCTGCATCCTGCTAAGGGTTTTCGGCATCTTGTGCTTACTTCCTTGCGTACGGATGACAGCTGCGTATGACTTAATTTATTTTCTGGTGCTTTCACTTCCAGAGACAGTTGTAAGCACTGTGTAACTGCCTCGAGGGTGCTTGACCATTTTAACACAACGTGGTGCGATCATCCCCCTTGCGCGGTGTGAGAGTTCTCCACCCCGCACAACATTATCTACTCGACCAACATTATGGTTACCGCCAAAAAAAAAGGAGGTAAAGAAACCCAGTAACCTGGTTGCCGAGTTCACGAAGTGAATTGGCTTGTTTTACAACGTCGTTGCCAGGCGACGAAAACCCAATCCCGATGGCAAACACCGGGGGGGGCGGCTTGTTTTACAACGTCGTTGCCAAGCGACGAAAAGCCAACCCCGATGGCAAACACCGGGGAGAGGGGGGCAGGGCAGAGCAATAGGGCACGGGAGCCCGTCAGGCTCCAAGAATTGTGGTGGAGAGAGTGGCAACCTCTTCGCTGGGGAGAGCGGCGGCGAATCTCCGGTGGGGGCCGGGTCAGGGCTGGGATGCTAGACTCACGAATTTCAGGAACAATGAAAAAATAACTTTGACCAATGAGTTTCTCGATGTCTTCCTTCGTCAGAACGTACAGCCCTTCCTCGCCATTGGCTGTGCTCTTCACACTGCCGTGAGACAAATACTCGTTCCGCACACGACCAACCAGTCCTCCTGCTCCTCAGCATAAGGTCTCACGATACCCCGGTCAACACACCGTACCCCCGTTGAAACACGGTGCCCATCACCTATCGGGCCAAAACCGACACCGAAAACCTACAGCGTGTCTTTCATCAATATGGACCTTTGCCTTGGATGACGACCAGTGGCATCACGGTGGAACCCCCCCCCCCCCCGGGCGCACATGCTGCTTCACACCTTGCATACGGAACACGCACACCCACCTTGTTCATGGCGATGAACGCCGGCGTGAGGAACACCGAGAGCGCTCTGGGCGAGATGGCGTTCTGCAGCCGATCCCCGAGGCTCATGCGTCTCGCCATGCCCGTGCCCCACGCGGGAAGCGTCGCTGTCACGTGTCTCCCAGAGAGATCGAAGAGCAGGCTCGGCGAGTTGAACATGTACGGGATGCCCTGGTGGTGGGGGCGCGGTCGTCGAAGACGGTAACGTTGCAACGTCGCGAGGGGTAGGCGAAGTGAGGAAGGGATAAGTGACCTGCTGTTGCCCAGCGATCCGCGATTGGCACCGCCGGGGAACAACAAGACGTCCTTGGAGGGCAGCAACTTGTTTATTGATACTGCGACTGTCGATGGTGTATTTACCGGCTTTCGTATCCTATCAACGGACACACAAGTCTTGCCAGCAAGCCCACCTCACCATGCATTCATACGACACAAGTGTCATGAAATCAACGCGTCAATTGTTTCCAACATATAGTGACAGCAGCAGCAGCAGCAGCAGCAGCAGCAGCAGCAGCAGCAGCAGCAGGCCAAGGGCTTACGCGGTGGTTCTGATGCTGCCAAGCCGCCGAATCATCCAGGCATTCAGATCCACCCCTCACACATCGTTTCTCCCTTTGCATCTTGGTGCGCAAAAAGAACTTTCCGTAGCATCAATCTCAGGTCGTCAGCTTCCCAAAGATAACGGATGCATTGGATTCGTGACGATCTTGAGGGCAGCTACATACGCCCGGCCGATTCACTCGCATAAGAGACGGAAACCCGCCCTATTCAACGTGTAACATATGAGCATGAATAAAATATCTGTCTGCGCCAAGGAAACTTACTGAACTGGCTGCCCGCCCTGCCTGACCCGCCAGAAGATGGTCCAGGGCAATCATCGGACAAGGAGCTCAACGAAAGTTAACCCGAGATATAACGGGAACTGCGTAAACACTTGCAGGGTTGATTTTCATGCCACAGGGTTAGACATCATCTCACCAGCTTCTGGGCAAAGTCCAGCCCACCCAAGGAGCCCATGTCGAGCACCACCAAATCGAACGGCCGAGCCCACGACGCAGCCCCGTCCCGAACGCAGCAGGTGGCCGCTCCTCCGGCATCATCGTCGCGGCTACCACAGTCATGTGCACCGCCGCCGCTGCCACTGCAGCAGCTCTGCTGGTGTCCCTCCTCTGTCGCATCATTGGCTACACCGCTCGCACCTATCACCTCCTCTCCCGCTGCTCCTACGCTGCCGGAAAGACACTCGTCGCCCTGCTCCGTAGAAGCGCCTCTTCTCCCGCAACAGCAGCTCCCACCGCTGCCGCTACCGCTGCCGCTACCGCCACCGCAGTCGCTGCTGCTGCTGCTGCTGCTACTACTGCTGCTACTGCCCCCGCCTGGTGGCGGCTGTCCGGGGTATCTCGTGCCGGGAACTTCATCTTCACGCTTCTTTTCCGTACCGCCGGGGGGAGCCCCCGCCGCCGCGCCCGCGTTTCTAGCCGAAGCCGCCACCGCCGAAGCGGGCGGCGACAGAGGGGAGGCCGTAGGCGGCGACGGCGGCAGCTGCACGGCGGACAGGAGCGCCCGGTACATCGGACGCGCCAGCGGCAGGTAGACGTCGTTGAGCAGGGTGAGCAGGCCCCAGAATCCCCCGGCCTGCGACAAGGACCGCAACTTGCATTTTTTTGCGATTTTTTCGTTCGTGCGTCCGTCCGTTTTTTTTCGGTTTCCGATTCCCGATTTCCGAGCCACAACCGATCGAACACACGACGGGACAGTTGTCCAGGCATCGTCGGGATGGATCCATTTCCGTCCGTCCATGCATCGGCCCGTCCGCCGAGCGAGGTGGTTGGTTCGAGAGTCCGTTCGTGACCCCCCCAATGCGGTAAAACACACGCAAAAGACCCCGGAGGCCGGTGAAAGAAACGGGGGCAAGGGCGAAGGGAGAGAGATGTTATGTAGAATCTGGTCTTCACTAAAACGTGAGGAGAGGGGTATCAACTCGTAACTAAGAGAAGGTGTCATATTTACCGAAAAGGAACGTCGTGTAAGACATAAACGCGAGAAAGCGCTACTGCACAGGAGCCCGATACTCTTTCCTAACCCTATGGCGAGCAATTGTAAAACGTCGGTCCTGCAGGCGGTGGCGGAATTGTTGCAGACGGAGACACGTGCAGTCCGCCATATTTGTAACATGATTCTGCTGTAGCGCCTTCCCTCCCGTCTTCGCGCGCAAGCCAAACACATCGAGCGGTGAGAGCATACTAAAAAAAAGGTATTGTGAGACAGCCAGCCAAAAACGACGGGGATCGGAGCGTTTGCAACAGTGCCTGAGCACGAACGGACGTGCAGCAAGGTCATCCAACCAGCTCGAAGGCGCCTGCACCGTGATGGCCATTGGACAGCGCTTGGTCCCCACATGCAACGTGTGCATCTTCGGCCCGAGCCCTACATGTGTGCGATCCTCTGTCCTTCCTAGATATCCTGTACGCGGGTCGCCCGCGAGCTGCAGATGTATGCAATTTCGCCATGAAACTTGCTCGACGCGCTGCAGCAGCAACCACACTGCGGATCCCCCCCGGGACTCCGGCGTCAAAAAGAAAGGCGCGCAAGAAAAGCCTGCGATGCCAGTTGCAACATACCCAACGCTGGCTCGCACGTACCTTCGATCTCAGGTGGTGGTCATGCATAGGCATGCGCCCCGCGGAGAGAAATGCCACCCCGGGGGTTTCGTCCACCATCGGTCGAAGACAGTTGTGAGTGGCGAAGGTGACGTTGTGGCCCCTGGATCAGCACAGACACGAAAAGAAAATATAAAACAGTGTTTCGAAATGCATTTTCATTCAATCGAACAAAACATTTACATTGATGTTTGTTTCGATTCGAATACACACAAAGGCCGTTCACAGGGTAATAAAATAAACGAACGGAAGGACCCCGGCAAAGGTTTGGGTTCGATGCGGATTTTTCTACAACGTTCTATTTACGATAAATAAAAACTTGGCCTTGAACAGGGTTCACTCCGCTCTGCTTTTAAGCGGCATCTGTGCACGACTCTTTTCCGGAAACGTCCGTCGCGTAATAGCGCTGTCACTTGTTCTTGTTGCTGCTCCTCGTATCGACAAAAAAGCGGATACATCGAATCTTCAAGAATTTATCTTTGTCGTGAAACAGTAGTTCAGGATTATCTCAGCCAGTAGCAGTCCGAGAGCAAAGAACAGCCACACGAGCCCGTGGCACCTCATATCTACCATACCGTTGGCGCTGGTGCTGCTACTACTGTCGCTGCTACCACGCTGTTGGCATTTACCGTACGTACCTTGCCGCAATCTCTTCCGCCAAGGACAGCAGGGGCATCGCGTGGCCGTAAAAACCCACTGACACGAACAAGATTCGACCAGGAACTGGCCGTCCATCTCTCCAAGCAGGCCTGCAAGAGCCAGGAAGGCGCACAAAAAAAATTAAGGTAGTTATGTAAACGTTGTACGTGCAGGGGGAAGGGGAATCAGAACGGGAGAGGGTTGAAAGGCAACAGCAGCAGAGAGACATGACAAGCACCCACAGAGGCCGACAAGGACACTGAGACGGAGTAGGAGGAGGAGGAGGAGAAGCACACAGCAAGAAAGGGTGTCAGTCTAGCCTATTCAAAATTGATCGGAAGGAAACCAAGCGGGGGCAACACCAAGCGAAGCAAGTCGATGCCAATGTGCTTCGCATACCGGCTTTGTTGGGATGTAGGTGTTTTCGGTACAGGGCGGATACGTAGGTGTTGTTCGTACAACACCAGTACGGGCCCGCGGTTAAGAAGCGGACAACTTCGTTAAGTTACAGAAGCCCAGCTTTTCACGAAAATTAAGAAAATTGGGCGAAGAAACGCACCTCAGCGGTGGATCCTTACACTAAACTCAACCTTCGACGAAGAGGGAGTAAGAAACTGATTAGCCCGACTTGACGTTTTCTTCGTCTCCGGGCCAATTCTGTACGGTAGAGCGAGTTTGATGCAGTATCATGAAGGCGTTCTGCTAAGTCTACAAGCGCTAGGAAGGTAGCTACGGGGGCGTCTTGGGAACAAAGGCCAGCAAGAGAATACAGCCTAAGGTGTACTGGCGTCAGGATCCACCTAATTGGGGGGGCGACGCCATCATCCCGCGGACACGACTCATGCACGGATCATGAAGACGGAGGAATAATATACGATCAGCCTCATATCTTTGGCCCATGCGGCACGCGGGCCAAGCTACCTAAGTGCACCGGGATACCGCGGTGAAAAGCGTAGGCCCTAATCTAAGCAACGCCTGGTGGGAATAAGGAAGCTGTGTTGCTTGTTGCCAATCCTTGCTGTTGAGTTCCAACGCGTGCGGTTAAAATCGACGCGGAGGCAGGAGGGGTGGTTTCGTTCTGTGGGAAAGAAAATCGAGTCAATACCGCCGCAACTGCGATGTAACAAAAGCGCATGCGAGGTGTAGCTGTTTGCCACAGGATGGCTACGAAATCGAGAAACTATCAACGTCAAGAACTGGAGTCGAACAGCCCAACCAAACACAAGCTCGTTGGGCGAGGTGCGACCCGGCGGGTTATCTTTACAGGACGGAGAGAGAGCCAGGCCGCCAGATTTCGGGGAAAGCAGGATCGCTATCTATCATATTGCGGAGTGCGGACACGTCGTGTGTGAAGAGTCGACGCGCGAGAGGGCAAGGAGATGCACAGGAAGCGAGGGTCGCAGGATTGTTGCGTTACTAAGGTGAATAAGCTGCTTCCGTCGTTTGGGTCCGAGCCGATGTGTCGTCGAAGAGCAACGATCTCTCTGTCCTCTCTGTTGTGTTGGTGCAAAGAATTGGTGAATATAGACGGCGTTCCCGAGACCGTAGCTTGCACACACGACGTTCCACCCACCACAGCCGCCACCACTACATGTTGGATTCCAGCGATGGGCAAGCCTCGCCAGTGTTATCATTGAGCACTCTCGATCTCAGACATCGTCCCACTCGATAGCAGTAGCAGCAGCAAGCAGCATCTCACCTGTCCCACGCGCACGGTGAGCCTCCGTCGCAACCGGCTGCAACCGTCTCAGCTGGCCACGGGCGGAGCTTTCCGATCGAGGCCGTCTCCGCAGCGAGCGCCAGAACGGGGAACACCATCCACGTCAACAGGACCCAAAGGGGAAGTAGGCCCATCATCTCTCGAGCTGCCGGCTCCGCAGCCGACAGCGGCAGTGGCAGCTAGCGTGGGTGTGTGTGTTTTTCATTTTTCAGTTCAGCAAGGGGGTCCGCAGAGCGCAGTATAGTGCACCCGTTCCTTCACGCACTGTATAGGTTGAGAGGCGCGGAGCCCCTCGAAACAGAAACGGGTATCTTGCGTGTGCATGATTTTTCATTGCACGAAACACCAAGCCAGAAGCAGGTTCTTCGTACAGATGCCGTAGGTCGGCTTGTCGACCACCGCCCGGGGCCAAAGCAACACGTCTAGAGGCTGCACGTGCCACGCCCAATTTTCATCCATTCTGTTGGTTGGGTGCCCTGCGCCTTGCGCGGGGCAACGGGTGCCTCGAAAAAAAACCCAGCAGGCGATCGAGGTGGACGAGGGCTATGATGTCTCAGTCTACAGCACACCTATTTTTTTGAAGTCCGCAAGGGACCCAGCTTCAGCACCGGCGCGCAGGCTTCCTTCTCCAAGAGCAACGAGGTATGGTATGCATAGCATGCCGCCCATTGTCGACGAACTACTGCTGTAGTCTAGACTACATGGTTTCAGTAATAGTTTGGACTTCCACAGCCGAAGCCACGGGGGGGCGCGAGACGGGGGGAGACATGGGGAGCTTATCTTTCTGTTTCTGTTTTTAGAAAGTACTTGGTAAACGTAATCAACCTCACAGAGAGACTACCCGGTTGTCGTCACTTCAAAATCAGCGCTCACACCAATTGTGTCGTTTCTTCCAACATTCCAACCCGTGGTCACAAAGGAGAGTTCTCCTCCCCGAGACCCCCTAGACTAATCACCCTCCCTCCTGCGGTGTTCTTGCATCAGAAAAATACTGACTCCTCTCAGACTTCACGGGTTTCCGTTCGACTGGGTACCCAATGCAAACATGTTTCAACATGTTCCGTTGATGGTTTCATCACACTTTTTTTTTTTCCTCCCATCATTGGACTCTGTTTTCTGCCTCTCTGGCCCCTATACTCCACTTCTACCAGCTAGACGACCCAACCGGGGTCACATGGGAGGGGGGGATTGGACCCCCTCCTGTGGTTCCTGCTTCCAGCGGAGACCAGGATTTTAATAAGCGAGAACAAACTCACTCTGTCGGGACTCGAACCCATGACCTAGGCTGCGAGGCTACTCACTAGATATAGACTTCTGGTCTGTCTCGAACGGGTGCCACACTTCTCGCCTTTCGTGATTTGCGTGTATGCAGTTTCATTTAACAACCTCTGAAAAGCCTTCTGCACATCCCTTTCGACTATGGTTATTGTGTCGCAAGAGGGTATAAAATTCTTGCGCGATTTGCGTTGAAAGTCTAGACTAGAATACAGGTAGAGTCTAATGATACAGAAGAGTCCAGGATCAATTTGCAACGCGCTCATGCGCTCATACGTCGTGTCGCGCGACCTACAAACTACCTACCTGTGATTCTACGATCTCCGAGAACACACCGGGATGCCTCCGCTGCTGGAATATTGGAAACAGCCTCAAGAAGACAGTTTGGTGGTCCGCTGATGTTTGCCCTGGTGTTTGTGACCGGTAGATCGGATAGGCCACAGCTTGTCGGAATGGAGGAATGCAGCTCGTGCAAGGCGGGCCGAGATGGAATAGTCTTGCGCAGTACAACAGCGTGTGCGATCAGTCACAGTTGAGGTGTTGTATCACGTACATTCCGGATGCAGCATAACGGACACCTGCCTTCGCAACCGCCCGAGTACCATGTTCGCGGCCTTTTTGGTACCCTTGACAACACCTCATCTGTGACAGCATTCAACATCCGCCTTTGCACCCGCCCGAGTAGGTATTGTTCACAGAGATTTTGCCCCCTTCGCGACACCTCGTCCGTGACCGCATGAAACGGCCGCCTATGCACCCGCCCGACTACCTATCGTGCACAGAGATTTTGTCCCCTCCGCAGCACCTCATCCGTGACTGACAGCACACAACAAAATACGCAAGACTCTTTCCATTGTCGGCCGACCTTTACCGAGCCTCCTTTTCTCCACGCCGACAGGCTTTGGCCTCACATATCCGATCTGCCGATCCCTCCCGCTCTCGTGTTGGGATTATCGAAATAGGAGTTATCTTGTCGTGGAGACTTGTGTTTTATAGGATGTTGGCGATTCAGCTTGGAACGTGCCATGGGAGAGTTGGGTTGAACACGTAGTATATCTCTGCCCCACGCACACATGATGCGCCGTTCCTAGGGCGACGCCAATAAATAGAGCGGCGCATCGGGCACCCTGACATCGATACCATAAACAATAAACATCGGTATAAGCGTGCCACCAAAACCAATGGGTGTCAGGAAAATCGTGCGTCGAGCCCACCAGTAGTCGGACACGGTTTGACCTTTGAATAAGATTGCAGCAACTAGTCTGCGTAGCAGTAGAAAATAATCCATCTCTCCTTGGCATGTATTCTCTTGTTCTAGAAATATTCCGGAAGCATGCTAGGTCAAGGTTGACCGGGACATCTACGTCGAACGTGTGTAGCTTCTGGAAGCCTTCTGGAAACTTCTGGTTCCTTCTGTAGCTTCTGAAAGCCTT